ATTTCATGGTCCAAGCCTCATTGATGAGAGGTTTATCAATCTCTCGAAGCACCTAGACTTGTTTTATTTAAGTGTGTTGTACCGATTAAAATGTGTTAAACAAAAGGTTTAATTTTGTTGCATGTTCATCTCTTGCAGGTGTATGCATGCTCAACAATACAAAAGATTAAAAAAAAATTATGTAGTGTGTTTGCTTTGAGTTTTCTGAATTAAGTTTTTTGAAAACTGATTTTTTTTGTTTTTAGTGAATATTTTTAAATTTTTAAACATTTTTTTTACTTTTTTAGATGCACCTTACTTAGATGTATCTAAAAAGTAAAAAATTTGTGAAAAAATATTTTTAAAAATTAATAAATACATAAAAATACAAAAAATGTACTGAATTCTCGTATTTTTTATTTTTGTATTTTTGGTATTTAGTGAATTTTTAAGAGGTTTTTTTCAATTTTTTTTTTTACTTTTTAAGTATATTTATGTTAGGTATGTCTACAAATTAAAAAAATTGCTCAAAATATTAAAAAAATTCAGTAAAAACAAAAAAATACGGAAAATAAGAAAGTAGAATTTTCTGAAAAGTGTTTTGGAAAAGTGGTAACCAAGCATAGTGAGAATTTCTAAAATAATGATTAGAATAAGAATGATTAGATGGTAAAAATGTTACATGTTCTTCAGCATACAAATTACATTGAAAAAAATGCCACATTTATAAATAAATAAATACGGTTTTTACATGATAAATTTTAGAAGTTATGGTGATAAATCCAAAAATGGTAATCAAGAAAACATAATGGTAGCGATATGCATGGTACCAATAGTAAAAACAATACTACAGTCTACAAGATTCATAGCCTTGGCCTCAATTGATGTCATTGCTATTTTTTGGAAAATTTTGTGAATTTGCCTCCATTAAATTTAAAACTTCCCCTTCTTCTTTGAGTATGCAGAGAGCCACCTTACCATAGAAAGGTAGTTTCTTTATATACATACAAAAATATTCACAACATAGAGAACATATATTAGAGTGAGAGTTTTTAGAAGCTTCACTTCTTTAGCTTTTGAAGAGAGAGACAATGGTAACGCATAACGCTAACACAAACGGTAGTACATTGCTGGATTTGTCAGCTGTTTTGACTCACTGTTGCCATTTCATTGAATGATTGCATACAACATATTCAGTTAGCACTGAAAGGGTTTTGATCCCTGAACTTTGGAGGGAGCACACCTCAAAGACTCAAGGCCTTGCCACCAAGCCAACCCGTTGGGGTTCACCGATTATGCCAATTGGTTGTGGTGCTAATGGAACTATGTTGTAATTGATCAATTCATTACATTTCTGTGATGGAAAATATGTGTGTAGAATATGAATTGAGCTCGAATATTGTCCACAATTCTAATTCCAAAAACCAAGGCTGATTGGGCTGGATTGATAACCAAAGGGAGATGGGACTTCAATTTGTTAGCCAAGATCTTGAAGATACACTTTTAGAGGGTAGGATTAGGGACTATGAAGCATGTGTACGGGTATATGTATAATATGGGTATGTTTATATGATAAAAATTAAAAAAAGTAAGGTATGGGTACGTCTGGGTACGTTCGTAAAAAAATAGTTATTTTTAATTTGAATTAATGCAAAAATTAGTTAAATGGTGTAGTTTGTTAAGATCTACCCTACAATTCATCTTTAATGCCAAAAGTGAAGTCTAAACTGAAACTAAGTGTTACTATATTTATTAAATAATTTATAAGCTAATGTTTAATTTTAAAATCATGCTAAGCATAAAAAAGTAAGTCCAATGAGACTAACTTTACCTTTGTATAGAAGAAAATACTATTCCAGCTTATGGCGTGGGAATATACTTGGTGTCTAGGGTATGCCAAAAATTAAGAAGAAAAAAATTTGCATACGTGTTTCGTATACCTTGTGCATAAGCAGAAATACCATGCAAAGTATCAGTACCTATTACCAGTACGACATGTTTGTCGAAGTATCCATGCTTCATAGTCTCAAGATAATTCTAAATGAAGGTTTTTATATATTTTTTATATTTTTTTTGCAAAGTATATATTATTTAAAATTTATTTTTTTCATTATTAAGATAAAAAAATTATTTATTAAATATTTAAATTTAATTATTTTTATATTTTGGAAGCAAATTGATTTTTAAGGTATATTTTGGGGGATAAAATGAAATTCTAAATGAACTTTGGTGTCACGTCAGTACAATTCGTCCAATTGTAGACGGAATGTGACAACATGAGCTAAATTGATCAAAAGTTTGAAAGTTTGAGTGTAAAATTGATATTAATCGAAATCTGGAAGTCAAATTAAAAAATGTATAAAAATTTTGGGAACAAAAATTATATTTTCCCTTATAATGAATAAAACTTGGGGGCAAGAAAAAGAAAAAAATAAAATAAAATAAAGGACATGCAAATGGAGGAGGAGAAGCCTGGCATGGTATGGCATGTGTTGCCTATCAATCAAAGATGAATAGGGTACGGGAAAGGATGGGGGTGGTCGGCCACGTTTTTTTATTTATTTTTATTTTTTTAAGAAAGGAAGAAAGATGGTAAATGGGATAGAAAAATTTGTTTTAAAAAAGATGAACCAAATATTATTATTAATGATGAGATGAAAATAAAAGAGATAAAATAAATATAAGGGAGTAAATTAGGTTCTCATATAAAAATCTTACCATCAAACTATTATAATAAATCACCAATACCTTTTACTAAATATTAATATCTCAAAAATATGAGATTTCACAATTTATCCCCTTTAAACAAATTTTGTCCTCGAAATTCACTAAAACCTAATACTCCAAAATTTAATAACGAATAACTTAAATCACTTGCTTCCACTGTGCACTCTGACATAAACAACGAATAATTTTTTTTAGCCTCAATTATTGATCATCATTTTTTCCCCCTCAAATATCAACCAATTTTTGTTTTATTATTATTTTTTTAAACCTCAAATATTATCCACCCAATAGATCCCATGTAAGACCTAATCCCCACACTCTAATACCATTTTGTAATGCCCCAACTTCCTAGCCATTAATAAATTGAATGCCCCTCAAATTTACAATTTTAGATAAACTAATAATCTAAAATATACAAATCAGTCGCCAAAAATAATAAGACAAATCTCTCCAAAATATTATATAATGGTGAGCCCAAAATCTGTAACACAAATAATCCCTTTAATACTTCAACCTCAATTGCCACTAAATTGTTCCACACCTGAAAAATAAATCAACTCAGGAAATATTAAATACAACAGGAATAATAAGATTCGGATAGAGAATAAATCAACAAGGATCGAATAAATTACGACATTGCATAAACAATACGATTTGATAATTTACCAAATTGCATCAACAAATCACTAAACATATGATAATTTATCCCGGACCAAATATCCAGTCCTACTCAGTACATGACCAGTGACCTGCCTCACCCACCTCACCTAAGCACAACCGTTTATCCGAACATATTGGTGCAAGTTATTGGCAAAGTCTGCTCGATCAATATACGAAGTATTTCTACATCATTTAGTCAGACAAATCAACATTGTCAATACAAGATAACTTCATAGAATTTTATCAAATGACTGAAATAATCAAACGAATCAACAATGAATAATTCTACAGAATTTATCAAATGACCAAAATAATTAAAAGGAGTACAAATTAGAAGTAATAAAAATAAAACTCTTTGTAAAGAAATTTAAAAGAAAGCATATTGTATACCACCCAGTTATCTCAAATCAATTCGTTCATCACCAATACTTTAATCATCTGATATTTTACCATAGATCTCCAAATGTAGCAGATTAATATTCTAATGCACAAAGTATATATGATTTGACAAAATTTATAACTTTTTTTTCTATAAAATTAGTAACTCCCACTCTGAACACTTTCAAACTAAATTCAAAATTTTATTACAAATGGAGAGAGAGAGAGAGAGAGAGAGAGAGATGAAACAGACAGAGGGAGAGAGAATGCCAGAGCATAAAAGGGATGAAAGAATGAGCAAATTTTCCTCAATTTATAATGAAAAAAACATGGGGGCAAAGGAGAAGAAAAAATAAAATAACCTAAAAGGACATGTAAATAGAGGAGGAGAAGCATGGCATGGCATGGCATGTGTTGCCTATCAATCATAGATCAATAGGGTATGGGAAAAGATGGGGGCGGTTGGCTAAGTTTTTTTTTTATTTTTGTTTGTGTGTGTCTATTTATATAGGTGAATTGGTGGCTTTTCGAAAGGTCATGGTGATTTTTCAATAAAAAGACACATCTCTTTTCTATCAAAACACACAACTCTTCCATGGAATAGGTACAAAGAACAGATATGACTGTTCTTTCAAACAAATTCAAATTTTGAATCGAATCTGGTTCAATTTTGACCCAAAAATATAACAAATAAATTTAATTTTAAATTAAATAAATTTTTTCTTAAAACCATACTCACATGGTGCACTTTGTAGTCAATTTCTCATTCACCTATTAATGGTTTCCAACCCATTTTTCCAACATTACGAAGGGGAAGCGCAATTCATATTGCCCTCGAATTACCAAAGGAAAGCACAATTCATCTTGACCCTGAATTTACCAAAGAGAAGCACAATTCATCTTGCTCCTGAATTTTCTAGAAGGCAAAGCAATTCATCTTGCCCCTGAATTTCCTAAGAGGTAGAACAATTTATCTTGCCCCCGAATTTCCCAAGGGGTATGCTCTCAAATTTCCCAGGAGGCAGAGCAATTCATCTTGCCCCGTGAGGATTTCATCTCAGTATGGCATATTTGACCAAAATAAAAGTCTCCATCCAAATCTCAAATTTGGCTGCTTATCTGACCAAAGAAGGGGTAATAATATCTCCATGCTGGGAATAAGAATGCATAAAATTCATACTTCACAAATAATAAAAATCCAATATAATAACTGATAAAAATATATTCATACTCGGAATAATAAAGCATAAAATTCATACTTCGCTGATAATAAAAATCCGACATAATAATTGATAATAATATCTCCATGCTCGGATTAATAATGCATAAGAATTCATGCACCGTAAATAATAAAAGTTCGACATAATAACTGATAATAATATTTCGATGCTTGGATTAATAATTCAAAAAAATTCATAGTCTTGACGATGAAGCCAATGTCTTTTTGTAGGGACATACGAATCATGCTTCAATTGATTTAGCCATATTCTGGCTCATTCACTCCTCTTGGCCCCAGGTTTTGGTGTGAAGTAATCATGGCAAAATTTTCAAGATCTTGACAAATTTAGGAGTTGCAAGGAAATTAGTTTCACTGCTTGTCTACAATTGCTCATTCATGAATTGATTTTATTGATATCAGAGCTACTTTTGCCAAAGCTATTGCTACCAAAGCAGTAATTGGTGGATCGGCCATGAGAGTAATTAGTTTCACACTTGTTTTGAGAAGAACATCTTCTTTTGAGATTTGAGAAAAGAACATCTTCTTTTACGATTCAAAATGTCCACCTACAAAATCGAGAATAGTATTTAATAGGTCGTATCATTGATAGAAGGGCACTCCAACATTAAAGTTGGTAACACTCTACGGAGAATGCCCAATATTACAAATGCTTAACTCTTTTTGTTTAAATTTTTTTTTCTCACTTTTTTATATAAAAATTTATTAAGTAAATATTCAATATAATTATTTTAATAAAGTCAAGAGTCTAATTGGTATTTCGAATAGTTTTGGGGGGTAAAATGAAGCTTCAAACGAAGTTTCGATGACGTTCGCAAGTTCCATCTGATTATAGATGACAAAATTCATCCAAAATTGAATAGCTTATATAAAAAATTGAAGGCCTGAAATTAAAAAGGAAAACAAACTCACATCACACGTACATTACATTATCATTCTCTTGTATTGACTGAATCCAAAATAATCTAGTAATCATATAGTATTATTTATACAATTTGTGATAATCATAACCCTCTTCCTTTTTGACTTACTGTTCACATTTCTCACTGTTTTGACGAGCATCAAGCTTCATATTGTCCTGTAATTTAGTTACCAAAGAGAAAAAAATGTACATGTCAGTGTACGGTATAAATTTGAACTCAATCAAGATTGGTTCCAAACTCTAACATAATTCCTACAATTCAAGCACGTAAAATTGATTGTTCAAATCACCATTAATAGTCTTGTAGAATACCCACATTATGTGATTGAATTGCATAATGTGGGTATTAATACAGATTGACTTGATAACTGTTGATTTTATTCTTTTAAGGTCCATCAAAGTGCATTAGATTTTAAGAATTGTCCTAGTATTATATTCTATAAAAAAACCTGTCAGAAGAGTTCTTTCCATATTAATGAAATTGGATTGTTTTCAATTGATATTTTTTGATTGGAAAAGAATAAGCTCATTTGAAATCTCACACTAGAAAACATGCCATGCTCGCTTCCATTATCGTCCAATAATCTATGTAGTGTCCTGTTAACAAGGACAAACCATGGAGGATCAAAACAAATGTTAGAGAAACAATAAGAGCAATTCCATAGAAGAATGAACTTAGAAATATTGAGCAAGACCTTTTCAATTTAGCACCTAGTTCGAAGTTTGTCTTTTAGGAGTTTGTTCTTGACCAAATGAAGTTCATGGAGGATATTACTTATGCTCATTTGACCTTGTGGTGACTCCGTAGAGCATGCCACTCCAATATTGACCATGGAAATCGAACATTCCACAATTTTGCAGCGATTGTTCACTTGAATTGTTGTTGCTCTAGTCTCTTTTTCCTCATTGTCTAGGAGTACCGGGTCTGCAATCTCCATCACTCGGTCAGGCAAGGTTGTTCTTGCGAAGTTGTGAAGATTATGCCCTTCCTCAAACATGTTCTCTATGGGTCTCTTCCCTGTTATCATCTCCAATAACAATATCCCATAACTATAGGCATCACCATAAGTTGAAATCTCACTTCCGAGCCCATACTCTTCCATTAAAACAATTCACATTCAAAGCCCAAGGATCATTTTCTGCAAAAGCATATTGATAAGAAAGAAAAAGAAAAAATCAATTATGATAAATATGAATTCCATAATATTAAAGCAATACATTCTACATATTCCAGTAAGATATTCTATTAGAAGAAGGGTAAAGAGTGGTTACCAGGAGCTACATATCCGATGGTTCCCCTTACTCTAATTGAGCTACTTTGATTTGGATTGGTGAGCTCTGGGAAAAATCTAGCAAGACCGAAATCTCCAATATGGGCAACCATCTCTCGGTCAAGAAGGATATTACTCGACTTCAAATCACAGTGAATGAACGGTGTTTGGCATTGTGATGAAGATTGAAAAATCTAGAAATCCCCTAGATGTTGATTTGTGATTATGTATCAATTTTAAGCAATATATAACAATCCCAATCAAACAATCAAGACAAATCAACACAACGATTTTAACGTGCAAAAATCACAATTGGAGCATCCCCAATTGTGATAAAAAAAAAATCACGGGTAACAGCCACAAAACAGTCCACTAAGAAGATATAAAGGAATTACACAGGTATACTCTTAATTACCTAGCGAATCTACGCCCGAATTGAACCAACCCCTATGTGCCTCTTCCAATCCCGTCTTCACCTCGGAATTGTCTTGACGATGAGCTCCTCCAGAATCCACCAAAGCTTCAGGCTTGAATTCTTCAGAATCCACCGAAGAACAACTTTCTCTTTTGTGTAGAATAAACTAATAATCCTTTAATGTATACTCTTTAAACCATGAGTTGAATACTCAATCAAAACATCAAAGAAAACTAGCAAAATATCCCCGGATATAAACCTTAATATCCAAGAAGAAGATCTGGAGAAGTAATCCTAAAATCTGACAGAAAAACATACTTATAGAAATCTAGGACTGCGAAGCTCGCTCGAGCGAGGAACTAATCTCGCGTGTTTTTCCATAACTGGCTTCGCCCAAGCCACACAACCTTTGCTCGAGCGTACATTCATCCTTCTCAGGTTTTTTGCCAGACGCAGCCTTCGCTCGAGCGAGAACTCCTTCGCTCGAGCGAGCAAGGACGGACATGCAACTTCAAATGCAATTTTGCATTTTGCTTCAGGGGCGCTGCCCCTCGACCCCGCCAGGGTGCTGCCCCGGACCTACCAAGGAGCGCTGTTCCCTAGACCCCCGCGAGCTGACCAGGCAGCTCGATCCCTGTCAAAATCAACGAAGTGGCAATCTTAAAAGAATTAACATCACAAACTTCTCTGCATGGCACAATTCGGGTTGGATTCGCATCTAACAAACTCATAGCCTCACTGAAATAAAAGTGCGAAAACAAGTACAACTGAAAGGAGTTCTGTCAAACGGGATTGCCAAGAATAAAAACCTAACAATCTCCCCCTTTGGCAATGCTGTGACAAAACACACCTAACAAATAAAATCTTAATCACCCCAACCCATTACAGCCAACAAACGCAAACTTCTTTCTCAAGGTCATGAGCTACAAAACAACTATTAGTGCCATAATCTCCAAAACAACTGTTAGTGCCACAAGAGTATATGAAAAAGCAATAAACATATGACAAGATTATCTTGAAGCATGAGATGGAAACACATGAATAAATGCGACGTGAAGATATTAAGAACATGTAGCATGAAAACATGAAAACTAAGACACATACACTTGACAACATTTCTCTCCCTTTTTGTCACGAATTGACGAAGGAAGCTCAAGCAACTAAAGTGAAAGCATAAAACACACAAGCAATGTCATAATAACGATTAACAAAACTCCCCCTCACTAAAAGCAACCACAAACACTGAAAACAATGAACAAGAAGAAAACGACAAAAATAATATGGTGGAGCAAGCAAGAAATCTCAGATTTGTACCTTAAAACACACAAGATTATCCAAGAAGCATAATTACTTGAAAACACAATGTGCACAGCCTCTAGAAGATTCCTCATAAAAGAAAGTGGTGCATTATGTGAAAAGCATAGATCCCATGATAAAAGTGTGTGTGTGACTCTTGGAGTTCGACAAACACTAGATTCAAATCCTAGTAGTGATTAGATAGCTGAACCTCTGTCAAGAGAATCTAAGCACAACTGCAGAAAGTCAAACCACTAGGAATCAAGGGGTATTTGGTGAGTAAAGGCGGAGGCTCCTCCTCAATCAATGAATCCTTTATTTTTTTCCTTTTTTTTCACATCTTTTTCTTTTCTTTCTTTTGCACATTTTTTTTTTTTTGGTTTCTTTCTTTTACACATTTTTTCTTTCTTTTGCACACTCATTGGCGGCTGACATGCTCAAGAGTATGGAAACCGAACCAGAGAAGCATGGATATAATAAGGATGGCCTGGTTGGTGACTCTGAGGTAGCATTTTCCTCATGGCTAGACTACAAAGAATAGAGGGGGAAAGCCGTGGAGATGCAAAAAGATGGAAGGTGGTTTAAGAGACTCAACATCACCCATGATGTGCTAGTATAGGTCAATTCCTCTAGAAAAGCAAAAGATACAATACCAGAAGTCCATAGAGAAAAAAGATCACTAAGGCGGAAGACTCCAATATTTGCTAATCCAAGAGTGTATACAGAATGAGACATACTAATCAAAGAACATATACTCTGAAATGAGTAATGACCACAGAAAGCACACACATATTAACATGTAATGGATATTCTCGTCAATTCCAATATGCACCAAGGACCACTCAAAAATTTCAAGCTTGCAAAACCATACTAAGAAAATCATTTTGGGTTTTTTTTTTCATTTTTTTTTCCTAAACAAAGCAAGACATAAAACGAACATGCATACACTAAATGACTCAAAAAAAAAAAAAAAAAAACATACAGAAACCCAAAAACTAAAACGACTAAACAAATTAACACAAGTCAAGTCTTCTCACCCAAACTGCTTTAGTATGAACAAAGTTGTGAGAATTGCGATTCTTGGATGGTGTCTTGACGTTGTGGTTCCCTTTGCTTTCAATGGAAACCCATCTCGACTTGGTTTCCAACTTCCTATTTCTAGGTCTAGGCAAATACAAACTCGCTCCATGTTTGGTCTCAAGCTGATCAAAATAACGAGGTCTAATAAAACCTTTAACCTCATTACTACCAATGAAGTGTCTCCTACCCCACGAGATGTTAGAATTTCTTCCATCTCTATGAGACACTCTCCCATGCAACTTATAACAATAAGGGCGAATATGACTATGCATACCACAATGATGACAAATAAACACAAGGTGTACCTTCTTTTCTTTGACCTTACCAACTTTAAGAAGATTTAGAAGTCTTTCCTCTCATTGAATCTTGTGCTCCCCTTGCCCTTGAGTTCTTGTATCATGAGACGTGGATGCATTCTATTTTTGCTCTTTGTTATCACCAAAACCAATGCCACTCTTGTCACAACACATTTGTTGAGACCCAATGATATCCTCCAAAGTCTTTGATCCTTTGTTCCAAAGACCAATGGTAGCCATAGCACACTTGAGCTCTTCCTTTTTCTTGATCATTAGTTCTTCCAAAGCAACTTGAGACATCTCGAGAGATTCAATCTTTTCTTTATGCGTTGCATAGATTTGCTGTAGCTCATTCATCTATGTCTCACAAGTCAAGAGTTTTGCACAAAGAGCTTGTCGATCACTAGCTATCTTGATGGCATCAATCCTAACCTCAAAAATCTCCTCCTTAAGTTTGACATTCTCACTTTCACATGCTTTGAGTTTCGTTGTGAGTTTGTCATTCAATTTGGATAAGTTAAGAGACTCCTTATACAACTTTTCATAAGCTTGCTCAAGCTCTTCATCATCACTCTCTGAGGATTCATCATTAGTGGCATTCTCAACCGATCTCTTCGGATACTCTGTTCGCCCTTTAGTTTCGAAAGCCGCCATGACAGCAAGGAATTGTTTATGTCCCTCTCCACCTTGATCTTCATTGTCACTTTCATTTTCATTAGATTCTGATTCATCACCCCAAGTGATGGCGAGGGCTTTCTTCTTCTTCAAACGAGTGGGGCATTCTGAAGCAAAGTAGCCAAATCCTTAGCATTCATAGCATTGGACTCTCTTAGAGTTCCCTTGTATCTTTCCTTTCTCCTTCTTGGCTATAGAATTAATTTTAAGTTTATCTTTGCCTTTAGATTTATGAGTATGAGTAGATTCCAAAAGATTAGGATTCTTTTTCAAAAAAGATTTTTTAAATTGTTTAACAAAAGCAACCGTAATCTTGGAATCTATCTCACAATCCTCATCAAAATCCTCTCCAACTCTATGTGCACTACTAAAAGTAATAACATCTTTTTGTTTCTTTTTGAAATTCCTATGTGCCTCATAAGTTTGGAGATTTCCAACCAAGTGATCCAGCTTGAGGTTGTCAACATCTTGAGCCTCCTCAATAGCCGTAACTTTTGGTTGGAACCGATCGGGCAAGGATCTTAAAATTTTTCCCACAACTTTGGATTCTGGTATTTTTTCACCTAAATTGAAGCTGAAATTTATAATGTCACTCAACTTCGCATAAAATTCATCAAAGGTCTCACTATCTTTCATTGAAAGGTTTTCGAAACTAGACGTGAGCCTTTGAAGTTTTGAGCGTTTAACAGAAGGAGTGTCCTCATGAATAGTTTATAAGATATCCCAAGCCTCTTTTGCGACTTCACAATTGCAAATTCGACTAAACTCTTCAGGTGTGACAGCGCAAAAGAGAGAATTGATAGCTTTATTATTCCGTCTACTATTTTGATAATAAATTGTATCCCACTTATCAATTGGTTTGGGAAAAGTTACTCCATCAACGGTAATCGTTTGTTCAGTCCACCTATACATGACAGATTGCCAAACTTTTTCATCAATAGATTTTAAAAGTGATCTCATCCGAGCTTTCCAAAACGAATAATTGGATCCGTCAAGTAGGGGTGGTCGAACCATAGAATTTCCCTCACGAATTGAATCCATTATCACAAATCAAACAAGATCTCGTTCTAAAAGATTTTTTTTTTTAAATAGAACGACCTGCTCTGATACCAATTGAAAAATCTAGAAATCCCCTAGATGTTGATTTGTGATTATGTATCAATTTTAAGCAGCATATAACAATCTCAATCAAACAATCAAGACAAATCGACACAACGATTTTAACGTGGAAAAATCACAATTGGAGCACCCCCAATTGTGATAAAAAAAAACCACGGGCAACAGCCACAAAATAATTCACTAAAAAGATATAAAAAAATTATACAGGTATACTCTCAATTACCTAGCGAATCCACGCCCGAATTGAACCAACCCCTATGTGCCTCTTCCAGCCCCGTTTTTACCTTGGAATTGTCTTGACGATGAGCCACTCCAGAATCCACCAAAGCTTCAGGCTCGAATTCTTCAGAATCCATCGAAGAACAACTTTCTCTTTTGTGTAGAACAAACAAATAATCCTTTGATGTATACTCTTTAAACCGTGAGTTGAATACTCAATCAAAACATCAGAGAAAACTAGCAAAATATCCCCAAATATAAACCTTAATATCCAAGAAGAAGATCTGGAGGAGTAATCCTAAAATCTGACAGAAAAACATACTTATAGAAATCTGGGACTGCGAAGCTCGCTCGAGCGAAGACTCTCTCGCTCGAGCAAGGAACTAATCTCGTGTGTTTTTCCATAAGTGGCTTCGCTCGAGCCACACAACCTTTGCTCGAGCGTACATTCATCATTCTTAGGTTTTTTTCCAGACGCAGCCTTCGCTCGAGCGAGCAAGGGAGGACATGCAACTTCGAATGCAATTTTGCATTTTGCTTCAGGGGCGCTGCCCCTCGACCCCGCCAGGGTGCTACCTTGGACCCGCCAAGGGGCGCTGTCCCCTCGACCCCCGTGAGCTGATCGAGCAGCTCGATCCCTGTCATAATCAGCAAGGTGGCAATCTTGAAAGAATTAACATCACAAACTTCTCTGCACAGCACAATTCGGGTTGGATTCACATCTATCAAACTCATAGACTCACTGAAATAAAATTGCGAAAACAAGTACAACTGAAAGGAGTTCTGTCAAACGGGATTGCCAAGAATAAAAATCTGACAAAGATAATTGAGCGCACAAGTCACATCTATGGCAATGTTTATTCTTTATAGAAGGTTGAGTCCCTGCTGCTCATTTTGCCCATCATTTGTTTCTAGACTTGCATGCAACCACCTCTCTAGACTCCTATTTGGCACGAACTCATAAACTAGAGCTTTGAAATCATTCCCTTGAAAATCAACACCGGAACAAGAAGTAATGATCCTAACTAAGTTTCGGTGTTGAATATTTCTCAAGGTTTCACACTCTGCCCTGAAACTCTTGATGGCTACACGATTTTGAAGGTTAAGTACTTTGATAGCAGCAACAAACTCTCGATCCTGAATGAGAATTCCTCTATATACAGAGCCAAAACTACCAAAACCAATTAGGTTCGGAGGAGAGAAACCATCTGTTTCTTTGAGGAGTTTCTCATAGGAGACTTTCAAGAATGATTCTTTCAACACTGGAACTGTAGATTGAGTTGTTCTTTGCTTCTTGAACAAATAAATTGCAAAGAATGACAAAAGTGTTGCTCCAACAAGTACAAAAGCTGTTGTAATTGCCAATATATGTGAAATAGGCATCTTATGTTTTGATTTCTTGGTGATGCAACTCAGTAGTTGTAGCTCAGAAATACCCCCACAAAGCCCATGATTTCCAACAATTGATATTGCACTTGCATTTGCGAAAACCCCCTCCATTGGTAACTCACCCTCAAAATCATTGAAGGATAAATTGAGAATCATTAGGGAAAATTTCTCTAAGAATGTCAGAATTTTTCCAGACAAGTTGTTATGAGAAAGATCAAAGTTTTGAATACCTCTCAAAGATTCCAATGATAGAGAAATAGATCCTTGAAAAGAATTTTCCTGCATATAAAGATTTTCAAGGCTAGTGCAACTACCAAGACTGCTAGGAATTTCACCAGACAACTTATTCTCAGAGATATCCAATTCCATTAAATTTTTAAGGTTTCCAACCTCTGTTGGCAAGGAACCAGACAAACGATTCCAAGCTAGATTTAATGAAATTGACAAAGATGAGACTTTCAAGAGTTCTTTGGGAATGTTTCCACTCAAGTTGTTTTGGTAAAGGTGCAGCAACAACAGCTTTTTACAGTTAGCAAGCCCTGAGGATATGGTCCCCTCTAGTCTGTTGTCCCCTAAGTAAAGTTCAATCAACAATGACAGGTTTCCGATGGAATCTGGAATTTTCCCTGAGAGGTGGTTCATTCCTAAATCCAATATTTGCATCTTTGGAAGATTTCCTACATTAGTTGGAATTGTACCTGTGAATTGGTTACCTTCCATACCTAATGCATCCAAGTTGACAAGGTTACCTATTGTTGAAGGAATAGTTCCATATATTTGATTTCTACCAAGTATAAAGGAAAACATATTCTTTGACAGGTTGCCAACAGATTCTGGTAACACCCCTCTAAATTGGTTTACCACTATACCCAATATTTCCAAATTGCTACAGTTGGTGAAAGAACCAATGAAGGCTAGTTCATCTAGTTCCCCACTTCTGAAATTGTTACGAAATAGTGTCACGCCCCGAATTTTAATTACACGAAAACATTACCAAAGCCTGTAAATTTAGGTCCATATTTTTTTTTTCTACATATACAAATATCTATTACACTTGAGTAACAGAAATACGATAATACATGTTCTCCCTCTCAATGAATACAACAACAATAATACATGCCAATGCTTCTGCCGCGAAGCTACAAATAAATGAATACAAATACAAATCCACTTCTTTTACAACTACCATGAAGTTATACAAATGACTCAAGAACTCCGTACATCTTCAATCAAATAATCCAAACATTCTTCCTGTAAAAAGATACAACAACAACGGGGTGAGCACTAATGCCCAGTAGGAATCTCACAGTTCTAAATCAATAACTAACACACAGATAAAAATGATCATGCATGCTGGGTGATACCATATAGTAGGGTAACATTTCATAATCTCAAAATATCATAAGTAAGGTATCTTTTCTCAAAAACAATTTAAACACTTGTAAGAAAAACCTTCAGCCATTAAAAATCATCTCTTAACTTTAGAAAAAACCATAGATCCTTGTGAAACAATCATATTTAAGAAACAACATCATTTAAAGGTTAATAACCAATTTCCCAAAATATTTCTCATTTAACTTCCATTTTTAATGTTCCTCTCTTCCTTTCATTCTACTCTTTTACTCTTCATTTTTAACTTAAAACCCCATAACTTCAGGTTCAAGTTCCTTTTTGATTTGCCAACAATTCTCCTATACTCAATTCACCTCGTTAATTACACCCGCAAAGTTTCATTTCAAGATAACACAATGTTAATAAACCCTTCCAAGCCAATCCTTTATTTAATTAAGGAACAACTCACACAATTTACTTTTATTAACACAGCTACTTCGTTAAGTTTATCATCATAATCTATAATCCTCATATCTATTTTTTTGGTTCCCATTATTTACAAATAATGCCCATGCACATTTCCTCTTTAAACCAAATTATACATCAATATGAAATTTCACAAATTCATCACAAGCAACAAAAAAAAAACATCATCAACTCAACTTACCTCTCAACACATAGCTTAACACAACCCACCTTTTGCCGGCTTACTACGGCGGGATGTGAACTCCCAAAAACCATTTTCGAAAACCAACCATTCTTTTAAAATAAATTTCCAAGTTCTGTAGAGTATTCTCACAAAGTATGTACATAGTTATGCTTTTTCCTCAACATAAAAGTAAATGTAAATGTAATGCTATGCCAAGATAAATCAATGAGGAAAAACATCTGTTCCAATGCATTGTTTCAATATCACCATGTTCTCAATGTCATCATATGATCTCATCAATTTCAAACTTCCATCATTACTTTAAAAGGGGCGGTAAATACGACACTGGTAATCCCTAGGCTGGTGTCTGCAAGTAGGCTCAACAAGCACTACCAAACTGTCATTTTTACCCGTGCTAACCGGAAGGCTCGACACCTATCCGCGCGGCTTTCGGGTCTTTCACCCTGGACACTCATGGCACTACTAGAAATATGGTCTTTTGCGTCTATATTTTTACGACCGATTGTTTGACCGTCGCAAAAAAGTACTTTTTATATCCAAATCCCATTCTAATTAACACCCAGTCGTGTTCTTTTTAAAAAAAAAAAAAAAAAAAATTCATCCATGTCGGTTATAACTTGCCCTATCCCCAAATCGTGTATGCATCAACTCTTATTTCCCAAATCAATATGAACTCTCTCTCTCTCTCTCTCTCTCTCTCTCAAAATCTCACTCTTCACTCTCTCTCGCTATACTCTCTCTTTCAACTCACCACTCTCAATTTTATTGTTCATTTGAAGATGTCGATCAATTGTTGATGAATATTTGAAGATTTTGATCGATCGTTGATGAAGATTTGAAGATTTCAATCTGCTGTTGATGAAGATTTCGATTGATTCATGATCGGTAAGTCTAATTTTTATGTATGAATCTAACTCTGTCTCTGTAATCCCTATATGTTTTTCTCAGCTTCCAAATTCTCTTCGGCTTTTCGCGAAGATCGACATCAGTTGAGAGGAAGTGGATTTCGAAATCAACATGAATTATAGCGATCCCGGGTTTACCCTTGTTGTACAGTGATCCGGACATGTGTCCGTGAATGTTGGTAGTTGTTTATTTCCTAGTTTGCATCCTCTTTACCTTGTATTTTGAGTTATGGGATGTGTTGGGCAGGTTTGTTACAGGTTGGTTGCGTTTGGGAGCCTAGTGTTGCTGCCCAGATTTTTGGTCCTTCGCTCGAGCGAGGAGTTTGTCGCTCGAGCGAGAGTAGTGTTGCCCCGGTTCTGGACCTGAGAGTTGTAGTTTCTGGCTCGAGCGAGCTTTTCGTGGCTCGAGCGGTCTGGGTTTTTCTTCGCTCGATCGAGAACTTCTTGGCTCGAGCGAGAGTTTTCTGTGTCTGGTCGCTCGAGCGACCAATCCTTCGCTCGAGCGAGCGTGTTTTATATCAGCGGACAGCAGCGTCTAAAACATCACTTTTTCAGTCCTTTTCTTTGATTAAACCCTAAATCCGACACCCTCTCTCTCTAAACTTGCACTCTCTCTAAGATTTGATCTCCCTAGGGTGTGAATCTAGCCTAAGGCCTTTGTTAAAAAGATAGAGGGCGTTGAGAGCTTCAATTTAATCTGAAAAAGTTTGGATTTGGAGCAAGTTGATCTTGGAGTCTTCATCTCCTTTTGGGCTAAAACTTCAAGGTAGGGATAACCTACTCCTCTCTATGGGTTTTGTCTTTAAATTTTGGTATTTTGAGATGTTGGGCTTGGTTTGGTAATTTTGTGAAAGTTTGGGGTGCCCAACTTAGATTCCCAAGAGTTGTGACAGTTTGGCGACTACGTTATTGAGATGCTCGACCTTTGTATTTGTCTCGTCCCTTGCCTTTTGTCCCTCCTCCCGCTCTTTCAACATCTCATTGGATAATTGAATGCGCTCCTCTCGTTCTTTCAACAACTCATTGTAACATCTCTCGCGCTCCTCTCGCTCTTTCATTAACTCGTCATGATCCTTTTGCCGCTCCTCACGAAGTGCCTCCACCTCAGCTCGCATTGCCTCCATGTCCTTATCGTGTGCTCGTGTTGCAAATATGGTAGACGGTTGTGGGCCACTCCCAAATCCAAGCAAGTACCTTTTCTTCTGTCCAAGCACTTGCCTTGAAATATCCTCTTGTGTCAATGGCGTCCCCGACTCGATGGCAGCCGCTTGTACATTGACCATCTCTTGCTGTCATTTCAAATAAATAAGGGTTAAAAAACTTTGGCAACATATATGTATTATTGGGTACTAAGTACAAGAAAATATTGAATACATATATTTCCTTGTCACATACTTACATGCAGCTCACGGCATTTCGGATGGATCCAGTCATTCGTTTTCTTTGAAGTGTGGCTGTCCTCATAGAACTTTGGGAAATCCAACTCTCCATCTTTTGCTACCTGTTAACACATCAATGTATAAATCAATGACACTTTATGCACCAAACAGACAAATTTCCATGAACAGATTTTTAAACAAATTGCTGGACAGATTGGGAGACAGATTTGGAGACAAATTTTAAGACAGATTTTCTGCCAGATTTGAAGCCAGATTCGTATTCAATTTTAAAAATAAATTAAAATTGCTCTAAACACCAAACATGTAGGTTATTACCTAAATGGGATTGAATATGTGTACTTGTTGCAGTCCATCATTGATTTTTAAATATGCGATATTGATATTTTAAGGATGAGCCCCAACCTAGCCTTAATGGGGAGTACGGTGCTAGGACTTTCATGGTGAATCATTTTGATCGGCACTATTGTGGCAAGTGTGGCTTCACCTATGTTTATCAGAAGTCTGGTGGTGATTAATCCTTTGATTTCAACTTTGAATTACTGTTTGTGTTTTTGTTTTAGTGCAGAAGGTTATGGATTTGTGTTAAAGTTTGAATTTTGATGGCTTATTTCTATTCTACTGCTTTAGTTGTTAAACATGAGATGGATTCTTCTTAAATTAAACGAATCTTTGACATATGGTGTGGTATGATTTCTATGTTGAGAGGGTATCACGTGGTAGTATTATATGATATCTTCTACCAATTACAAACGTATAATTTATCTATTATTTCTTATATACTTAAAATAAATGTAATAGATTCTATTGTTTAACCAATCACAATAAATAAATAAATAAAAAGTATCAGATGACATCCGTCCTCCATTGAACCAAAAAAATTCTCATAATTAGGACATGATCAGCTGATGTAGGGCCAGTGTATGTCAGTTTGGGCCTTTGGTCCTTATTCTATTTGTCTACAGACTACAGCAGGTCCCTTAGCACCCAGATTTCAAGGGAAGATAGGAAAGATAGCATAGGGCTTATCTGTACATACAAAAATAGAGAAAAGATAAAAGATATTGATAGGCTAACACTCCCTATTTTTGACAATGAGACATCCCTATTGTTTCAAGGCACTTTTTTCTTCACTGTCTGTGCGTGGATATGATGTTCTGTAATGCATCGTTTTCACTTCTCAAGCCTCAATGAATTTGACAAGAATTTGTCAAAGGAAAGAAAAACGAGATCAAAATTTAGCTTATATTTTTATCATATTTTTTTTTCCCATTTCCTTTACAAATTGTACTTAAATTTATGATCCAAATGTTGCCCTGGTTGACCATGGCTGTGTTTGCAAATATAGGAGGATGGATTGCTGACACACTTTTGAGCAAAGGTCTTTCCGTAACAACAGTTCGTAAGGCAAGAACAATATACAATACTGCTCTCTTTTGTGAACATACATGTAATGTGAAAATATTTTCTAAATGGAGAAATCATCTGCATCTTTTTCTAAAATAAAAGTTTATAAATAGCAAAGTAACCTTTATGTTCGACTGTTTCAAGGTCAATGGGAAGTATTGGTAGTAATTCTTCTCTAAACCTTTTAACACTACAGATAATGCAATCAATTGGATTTTTGGGGCCTGCCTTCTTCCTTACACACCTGAGCCATGTCAAGGCACCTGCTTTAGCAGTGCTATGCATGGCATGCAATCAGGTTTGTTCAATGGATTTCAATTCAATCTCTCAAACGTTAGGAATAGTTGACCTTTCAGCATTTTTATTACAGAAATCTTACATATAGTCAACTTAACAGAACAAGTTATTTAAAGATGAGTAACTGTGAGGGTGATGATGGTAAATACTATCAAATCCCTATCCAAATCCATGATCCAAACACAGCCATAATGAATTCTAGTATTTGACAGTACTTATAAGTGTATTAGATTGCTTATGAATGACAAGAATGACTCTTACAATGATTTAAAACAAAAATTCAGTTTTATATTTGGCCAAAATCTTGTAAATATGCGTTTTTGTTCTCTTTGCAGGGATCAGATGCATTCTCAGTCTGGCCTCTACTCCAATCACCAAGACATTGGGCCCCGATATGCTGTCAGTTATCTCTATCTCTATCCTACACAAAATCAAATATTGCTTCTCTCGTGATTCCTAGCTATGAATATAATCTTTTTGTAAAGGTTATTTCTCAAAATATGAAGTGATTAAATCCCAGTAAATAGAGTGGAAAAGTAAAAAAGATTTCAAACATCAATCATATTTTTCAGGTGGAAAGTTTCACCATTATTATGATTTAATTTGTGGTTCTGTGAATAGAATTTTCAATGATTATTTGAGAAGAGATCCTTAATTATATCTTTGCTTGTTGCTCATATCAAACTTGTTTCTTCCTTGCATATCTTGGCAAGAAAATTTACAAAAACAAATTTTAAAATCTTTCAGGAGAAATTCTTAACTATAATTTTCAATTGCAGGGAGTATTGTTGGGACTATCCAATACCCACTGGAGTGCTAGCTGGTGTCTTTGGAACAGCTGCAACAGGATACATTCTCCAAAAAGGTGCATCCAATGTTTGGCATGGACTAAACAATCTTTAAAAACCAACTTTTCCACTAGCAAAAAGACAACCTTTTACCAATTACCAAACACATCAACTTTTTTAGAGAAAAAAAATAAAACAAAAAAAAAAAGAAAAATGCAAAAAAAAAAGAAGAAGAAAAAAAAAAAAAAAAAGAAAAAAATGAAAAAAAAAGAATTAAAAAAAATTATGAAAAGAATTGAAAAAAAAAGAAGATGAAAAGAATTGAAAAGAAAAGAAGAAAACATAGCTCGCAAGGTTGAAAACCCGGAAGGGCAGCCTTGGCAAAAGTTAGAGTGCAAAAGGAGAGGTTAAATACCCGAGTGTACCTTAACCCGAACTACGTAAGGCTTGATTCCCATGTTTGGGATACGTAGGCAACTTCATTCTGAAGTCCAGGCATGAGACACTTAAAATTGACACCAAATATACATGGAACTTGGAAGATCTGATGAAAAGACAGTGGCTAAGATGTCACCGGTTTTGTAGTTCTCTTACTAAATTATGACGCCCTCAAACTGCAGCTCCTAACAATTTTGCGGGTCAGCTCCAGAGACCTTACAGGTACTGCCTCTATTTCATTTTCCTATACTTTGCTCTGTCAAAAAAAAAAAAAAACAACTTTCATATCAGCCTCAAAAAGTATAGGAACAGGAGATGATTTCACTGCAATAATGTACTGTGAGCTGCATTTTAATTCTTCTGAATGTGTGCTTGCTTTAACACACCTATTTGTATATGATAATTTGTTTTTAATTTGATTTTGTCCATGAAGCCCATCATGTTAAATTTTCTACAAATGGTAAAGCAAGCAGCCTAAACTGAATATCCTACGTTGAATTATAGACAAGACATTTTCCCCGTTGTAAAACAGTGAATGATCCATTTGCCGAGTATTAGTGACTGCCTACTGTTTTCACTAGTTACCTTTATGTTCTCTTAAATTTATTTATTTATTTATTTTCCTTTTAAAGTTTCATAAATAAATACCTTCTAATGGATGTCAGTTTATATATGTTATGTATTGTTGAATGAGTTCTGTCTCGTACTTAGAGAAATTTTAATGACTTTTCCTCTTTCCTTTTTTCAACAATGTTACATACTCCCAAAAAAAACGTAACCCCCACAATCCTTACGTATCTACAATTGGTCCACGAAGGAAAGAAAAAAAAAAAAAAACAAAAACACATGATTGGTCCACATCATTCTAAGGGTTGTGAGGGTCCCCAACTTTGGGGATTCAAAGCATTTTTGTTCTTTTTTTATGATTGAGAACTCAATCTAGATAGAATATTTTAACCTAACTAGGTGCGTAAACTTGGGGTTTAAAGGCCAATCCCTAAGCCGACCTCCTAAGCTTATGAATAGGACAAATGGTCAGGAGTCAAACTTTAGTCCAATTAATAATAACGGTTGAAAATTGAGCAGAAATCAAGTATAAAATAATTCATTCAATAGAAAATGAACTATTCAGATTGGCCATGATGTCTTTGGCATTCATGGCTGGTGTGTGCCTAGTTGTGAACAACCTTGCTTGGCTTGATGATGTTATTCAAATCATGGGTATGATTTTTCTTTCCACTATCATGGCACTCTTTGTTCCTCTTTATTTCCCAGATACTTCTCGCTCGCGGACCTTATGATTCATCTCTTACTATGTTCTGAGTTGGGTGATGCTTGCTTCTGGAAGTTATGGCAACGACGATGACCAAGAAGAGTAGCTGGGGTATTTTGCTGATGTGCTCTGCACATTTTAGTTGATTTTTGTGTTATTTGAAGAGAACTCTTGTAGCTTTAGATTAGTATCATGCCATATAATTTTTTTACTTGTTTTTACTTGTTTGTATTTTTCCTTTCTCACAGGAATGGCCTGTCTCATTTATCCAGATGTACCTCGTGAAGAAACTTGATCTTACAAGCGAAGCTGAGGTGAGTCTATTCAGCTTTCTTTTCCACAATAAATAGACTAGTAGTTTTGTTAAGGAATTAAGATGCACATCTCTTCAGCATTCTTGTAGTTCTGACTGAGAAACTGCAATTCCCTTGGATTGCTCATAAACTGCTTCTGTATCCCTTAACACGAGGTTAACTTGAACTTCAACATTCTGTGTCAGTTTCGCCACTTGTTGGGTTTGAACATCAATCGAAGCCAAAGAATCATGTATAAGGTGCGAATTCTGCAACAGACCCTCTGCTTTCTCTTCTATGGTCTCTAATTTGTCTTCGCCACTTGTTTGTTTATATATGGAGTGGAGTCCTTAGAGCTTGCTGTTAATCTTCCCTTAGTTTAATGCAAATACCAGAAGCCCTTTGCTGTTAATCAATTCTTTTTCCCAGAAGAACAAATAAAATTAAAAAAAAAAACTATCCACCAAGTATTTATGAATTTAGTCAAATTGATGGGCTGTTCCATATGTATTTGGATCTTGAAAGCTTAGTTTAATTAAATGGTAGAAATTTATGATGAACAGGCTTTGCTATTGATAGTTGAATTGTTGTTGAGTATTTACTTCAAAGTTGCAAGCCTTTGAAAAATACCAGTGGATGATGGCATTGAATTCTCTCTAACACACATGGTTGAAATTGTCACTATTCGCTTCAGATGAAGTGAGTTAGACAGAAGCATGTTAGTGGTGATAATTGATGCATGACAACATAAATACAATGATAATTCGATGGTAACATTCACGGACTATTGGCGAATTCATGTTTCCCAACATGCATATAATGATAGCTTGAGATTTCTATGAACATCCATTGGATATGGAACAAAATGCAGCATATATTTCTAGTTATAGCAAACTGGATGAACAATTCTGGAAAATCTTGAGAAAAGGCTTTTTAGGTTTTGTGAATTTTCATTATAGTATGTGTCGGTAAATCCCTTTAATTACATGGTGTAGTCTGGCTGGCATCTGATCAATGACACGAATTTTGACAGCTTTTTATTTTTCTCTTGACAATTTTTTTTGAAATAGTTTTATTTTATTATTTCAAGTTAAACTGCATTAAATTTTCAAGTCACATGTATATGTTTTTGCAAGTTTTGTTGAGGGAGTAGTAATCGAGCGGGTGATGTTTGGGAGCCAAACTGAGATTATGTTGCTCTTTTTATTTATTTATTTTTTTTTTTTTTGAGGACTCGAATCTTTTAGTACAATATATTTTAATGATGGTTGATGGATATTTGTTTTTGCATGTATGAAAGTTTATATTTTGTTTGCACACTTATATGTGAATGGGTTAGTATTTCTATTATGAATTTAAATTAATTTGTTAATTTTGTTATTTTTTATTAAAAAAAATTATTAGGTGCTTGGAATTGATTTTTTTATTGTAGCAAAAGTATATGATTTTATTATAAAAATAATTATTTGTGACAGTAAAAAAATAGTTGCTAAAAGTTTTTTTTTTTTTTTTGCGACGGCAAAATAACGGTTGCAAAAAGTAGGTTAGGCAGTCGCAAATAGTTTGCGACTGTTATTTTGCGGTTGCAAAAAGTATTTGCCACCCCCACATTCGCGACCCTTATTTGCCGTCGCATGAGCCGTCGCAAAAAGTCTTTTGCGACTGTTTTTTTATTATTTGCGACGGCTTGTAACGGTCGCAAAAAGTACTTTTTTTAGTAGTGTGGACAACTTATCAAATCAACTGCACCCCCTATCCGGACTTACCACGTATTTACCCCATTCACATTTCCATATTTCTTATCCAAATCATTTTCTATCATGAATGCAAATCTCTTAGATTTAAAACCACAATGTACAATGATAAATGATATGATATGCAAATGCAAAAATCTCCATGATTCATAACATTCCTTCTCAAATCAACCGTATACCATCAACTTTCTCATTTCACAAGTCAGAGCAACATGGTCCCACCAAGGACTACACATGAAGTTTTCAAAACCATTTCTCCAACTCAATAAATTTAAAAGATTACCAATCTTGCAAAACACATTATGGAATTTACACCCATTCATCTTCTATTCCAAGAAAGAAAGGAGTTTTATGAACATTTCCATGTTCCCCAAAAATCTCTAAATTTCTAGTGTTTTCACCAAAAATCAAACATTTCCATCCCCATAAAGAAACCCCATTAAATCATCCACTCGAGTTTCAAAATAATTAAGCAAACCCACTAGGAATTTAATAAAATAATTTGAGATTAAACCCACTTTGGAAACTCTACATTTTAGATCACAAAAAGCAAAATCAACATGATTCAACTCAACACAATTAAATATAATTCAACATATTTCAAGAGAAATTCTTAAATCCCATTTCAACATTTCATGACCGAGTTTATGTCATTTATATCATTAATAAATCTTTTCCCCCAATTTCCTTTTCATTAAAACATGATTTACAATGCTCTTAACAAAGTTCATTCGCAAATTTTAGACATAATTTTCAAGTAGAACCAAATTCCAATTAAACTTGTACATATATAATTCAACCTACCAATTTCATGATTCAACTTTCAATTTGGGCCAAATCATTGACTATCATCATAAATCAACCTAGGGTTTCAAGAAAAATCTAGAAATTTCAAGAAAAATCCAAATTTCTTAACCCATTACTTTTTGTTCCAATCTTTCCATTTATTATACGCCCTAGGTCCATAATCCATAAACCATAATCTAAACCCCATAATAGAACCCCAACATTTCAAACCCTAACTCCAAAATTTCATGATTTACACTATATGCCCAAAATATATATTTTGCATT